GTTTACTCTCTCTCTTTTTCTCTCCCTCCGTCGACATCCCCTTTGTTCTTTTGCCTCTGATGTCCTAACGGAATAGCTCAGACAGGAACAGAGGTGTTTTTCTTCAGGGCTTCTCCTGGAGATAGTAACCTGCTCAACCGAATTACATTGTGCAAGAGCAGGCGTTCAGGGCACAGAGTGAGGACAAAAGATTCTCCTGTGATATTGTTTTGATGTTCATATTATGAGAAATAAATCATAGCTTTAGGATTTTAAAATGTTTAATGTCTTATTTAGGGAAGCTGATGATCTGAAGCAGAAGCCCTCAAACATTCAGTCCTGTAATTTGCAGTGTGCAACGTCTCCTCCTAGTGGTGTGACGTGGACATTACAACAGTCTGTAATCCACTGTATCAGAAATTGTAAATCTGCATCACAGCTGGAGCAGTTCTCTGTGATAGAGATTACAGATGTAGATTCTGTTTGTTTATGTATGACTTGAAAGTACCTTAGATTATCTCTGAAGCCAATCCAAAGTCACACACACCTTCCATCTGTTTTTGTGATCGCTGATGTTCCTGAAGATTAACACATAATTGGTTTTGGTTTATAGAGAAATGCTGCTGAAGATGAATTTTTGATCCAGAGATACGGTCATCTAAAATCAAAGGACGAAGGACACTGGCTGAGATGAAAAGAGTGAATGTTTTGATGAGTCAAGGGCTCTTACAGTGAGATTCCAGGACTCGGATGGCTGGGTGGTTTCTGTCCTGCTCCTTTGTTAATTGAGTCCATCTCTGGTGTCCAAGTTCTAAATGTAGATTCTTTTATAATGCATAATGTGTTATTTATTATGTTGTGGTTACAATACATCGTGTTAACTCCATTTCCCTGTCATATTTATCATACATTCTTTGCTGTGTTTGTTTGTCTACGGTCAGGACTTGGATCGACGGTCCCTCTTCACTGTGACATCCCAAGGTGTCGCTCCCAGCAGCCCTCGCTCTCCATCTCTCACCCCTCTGGCATCACAGCATTACCTGCAACTCCTTCAGCAGCAGCTACAGCAGCAACAGCAGCACACACAGGTGGCTGTCGCACAGGTGAGAATCAGACACAGAATGTCATATGCAGAGTGAAGGTTGTAAATACAACCATTAAGACAAAATTGTGAAGAAACTGTCAGCCTTCTATTGTAGTACACATTCAATACGAACTAAGGTTTGATTCATATTAGGAGAAGTGTTTTCTGAGTTGTTTTGTCTATGAAATGTAAAAAAAAAAGTTTTAAAAGTTTGTTTAGTCAAATATGAAATCTTCCGATGTTTTTTCTTCTTTTTTTTAATTTTTTTTACTAAATGTCAGAAAGGCTTAAGTTGTTCATTTTACAAGCAATAAACACATCTCAATAGAACTTCAAGGACTATGTATATTGTCTGGCAAAGAAAGATGAAAATCGTTATTATAGCCAGGAAACTGGTTGAGACCAGGAAATTCTGTTTTCACTTTGCCCTTTGCTTTTTTTTAATTTTTTTTATTGAAACCAAATCTGTATTATACTTATGGTTCTGTCAGTCAGTTAATTGCCTCGTCTAAGGCAATGGGGTATCATTTGTTTCACTGGTGGGATTAATGTTTCTCTAAGTCTCTGGTCTTTCTAATTTTCCAGCTAATTTAAAATCTATGGTCTCTTAAGAGAGGGAATCTAAATAATCAATATCCGATAAATTACATCAGAAAGTCACCTGCTTTGAGTAAAAGCCAGCAGCTTGTACCAATTATTTTTCCAGCTTACTCTGTCTCTGAGTTCAACTTCAGTAATTCCACCTGGATCTGACAGATTGATCCTGGCTCATGTTGTTGATTTACCTCATCCAATATGACATGAATTATTAACAATATAATTGGCTGCACTGTTTGTCTTTGACCAATGATTTCCACTAGGGGGCAGCACCAACATAGGAATGGAAGGAGAGTGCAACAAAATAGAACACAAGCAATACTGATATTGAAATGCAGATTTGTAACAAAGCATCTCATTATATTCATCAAGCACCTTTTCTTTAACAACAGGTGCTAACACAACACAGATGCATATTTGCATTAATATTTATTTTCTTTTTTTTTATGCGTTTGATTGTACCGCCAGGAAAAATGAACCCAGGAGTGGACTGTCTACTTTAAATGCCATACCATTATTATTGTTAGTCTCTGGCAAGGGATTATAGATTCGGACTGGGAAAAAAAAACCTTAAGTAAATTCAAAAAAGTAATCTGGAATCTCCTCACTCAAACAAACACATCTTGCACTTTGCGTCAATTCCAGGTGCAGCTCCTGAAGGATCAGATGGCAGCCGAGACGGCAGCCCGCATGGAGGCTCAGGCCCGCGTCCACCAGCTTCTGCTCCAGAACAGGGACCTGCTGCAGCACCTGGCCCTGCTGGTGAAGCAGCTGAAAGAGCTGGAGGCCCACTCTCCAAAAACAACACAACAGGAGCCTCTAGCTAACGGACACAGTAAGTGACTGCGGAGATGACGGGTAGGGACAGTGTAATCCCTTAGATGGACTCATGTCAGGTCAGATTCTTTCATGCTCTGCACTTCTTGTCATTGCTCACTCCCTTGTTTACGAGGGGAAGGTGTAATCAGTCACGACACAAACTATGACCCCTCACTGCATCCTGCCTGCGAACATAGTGAGCTGGTTTGATGGCGCACAAGCACAGCTGCCAGCATTTGAACCCCGCTCTGCAGGTGAACACTAGTGCTTTTCCCTGTACGCCACCTGGATGTCCTTTAATTAAGCATTTTGCTTTTATCTCAGATAGAGAAGCAAAACGATGTTGGCCAGGTGCAAGTACGACCTTTTTAAAGCTTTCTTTTATGTCTAAGATGTCATGATCAAAGTATCAAAGGAGGAGACCATCAAAGGCAAGTTTATTTATTTAATCACCTTTTTAGATAAAAGGCAAATTAAAGTGCTTAAAAAAAAATACTCTCAAAACAAGACATTGAGAAAATGTTTTTAATATAATACCAATCAAACCATCAAAACAGATTGTATTTCAAAGACAACAAGATGTAAAATAAAACTAAAGGCAAAGTAAGCGAAAGGTAGATCCAGGTTAAATAGAACCCTGATTAAAATGCGCTGACAGTTTAAGCCATCTAGAGATATTCAGGAAGCTTTTTCCACAGGTGGGGATCAATGAAACTAAACTCTGCTTCACCTTTTTTTTGGTTTTGATCCTGAGAATGCTGAAAAAACAAGATGATCTGAAGGCTCTCAATGAGAAACAGAGTTCATATGCAGCGCTGGTGGCGCAGTGGTTAGTGCCCCAGCCCCGTGTATAGTCCTCCAAGCGGGCGGCCCAGGTTCTCATTTCCCGCATTTCATTCCCCACTCTCTCTCTCCCTGTTTCTATCCACTGTCCTATCTCTCCATTAAAGGCACAAAATGCCCAAAAATAAATCTCAATTAACACAATTAATGACTTATTAGAATACAAGGAGAACGTTTTTTTTTTTTTCTAGTCTTTTTTTTTTTTTTTTTTTTTTTTTTAGAAGATTTAGTGAACAAAGGCATCTTTTAATTTTTTCAATTCAATATTAACCTCTCTAACATGTCGATAATAATCAAGTTGCATGCTAAATGAAATGATGCATCCAAAAAGAGTCCACAGGCATTCTCGCAGCTCTGAGAGGCTGAGATGAGGCCGGCAATAAGTCATATTGAAACACATTTCTTATTAAAAAAAGTTATGGTGTACCCTCAGTTATGTTTCCTTGTGAATCCTTTAATGCAGGCACACAATTTCCTACATCCAGAGATGTTAGATATTTAGATATTTAATTGTGGACATTTAAGGGTCACAAGTTCAATCCTAAGAATCTGATTTGTAACACATTCTACATTTAAGAAGATTTTACATTTAGTTTTTGTTAACACACTCCGATAAATGTTAATTCAGCCATATGTGTATTAATAGTTAACAGTTCTATTGTCCTGGACTGTACTGTGTTTCTAATAAATCCCCCACTGCCTCATCTCTGTGCCTCATAATACCCCACGCTTAATGTAATACAGTCCAGTAGGTCAATGCCAGTGCACACAGAAAGCTCAATAATACACATTTATTTAGAATAATACCGTCCTGACAGTGTAATCAAATCTAAACGTTCATAATGTTAAGTTTAAGATATACGGCTGCAATTAGATTTTACTGGTTTACCATTATAAAATTGCCACTGAGCGTGTTATAAAATGTATTTTCTGCTGCAGTTGTGTCAATTTCAGAACAGAATAAGATTATTGATCTCACTTTGAAGTGATTGTTGCGATTTAACAAAAGCTTTATAATCAACTCGCGGGCCCCGCATTGTGTTAACAGCACGCTCACTCTGCCTAACACAATGTGTGTAATTAACACATTTTCCAAAACAAGAGCCTCTATGGAGTGCAGCAGGGAGGACTTATTTTTTGTAGGCAATCCCGGAAGTTAGCATCGCCTGGGTTCTATTGACAAAAAGCCTACTGGGTTTTTTTTCATGTCAAATGCTAATTTAAGGCTATAAAGAAACTACACCACGGTCAACTGACTTCAACGTCACCACCGCTAAGCTTCCACCCAGTAGATGAGGCTACATGTTCAGCGTGATGATGTTTAATGTTACCAACAAACTCTGCAGTCAGAGTTAGCCAGTTGTTAGCGACAACCTTTTGTAAGACGTGAAAAAGCTTCAAAATTCACAAGTGCGGCTCTTCCAGATGTAATTTTTGTTCTAGACAAAACAAAATTTAATCTCTTAAGCTTGTGTTTACCACAGACATTATTTCTGGCATCTAACCAAAAACTAATTCAAAAACCCCATGGACTTCAAGACAGTGCTAAAATGCTAATTCATTTCTGGGTTTTAGGACTCATTACTACAGAACGTTATATACTTAACTTATAAAAGATTATATAATATAATGGATTCAAGCCATTTTTCCACTTTACCTCACACTCCAATGCTCAGAGAGAGTTTTGATGGTGTTAACATTTTTATTTTGGAAAAAACCATAAACACACACCTTTCTCCCACAGGAGGGTTTTTGGAGGAGAAATGTATTTATAGCGGTTAAAAAAGACAGTCTGCCAAATATCAATGAATAAGCACACACACACACACACACACACACACACACACACACACACACACACACACACACACACACACATACTGAAGAGAGCTGTGTGTCAGTTTGTGTTAATTCTGTGTACATACTGAATGTGTTTTCCTGTGTGTCTGGAAATAACACATCATGGTTAATGGTTGAATTAATCATGTTAGTCCCTTTGATAGGAAATGCTAATCTTGCTAATCTCAAACATGGCTAGGCTAAATGATGCCACTGGAATCTTGCCATATGCTCTTTTCTGTAATGAAAGTCAGCACGTCTTCAGAAGAAAAAACAAAAAGGCCAACACGTTTATCGGTTCCTCTTCTCCATATCTTGACTCGTTTGTCATTTTGTTGATTTTTCTTCTTTCAGGTGATCAACAGTCATCCAGCAGCCCTGTCTCTACATCAGCAAAGTCTCTGTCTCTGAATCTGAAGAATCACTACAGCCAGACTCTGGACCAGCTCATCACCTCCACTCCTGCTTGGCCGCTCCAAACCTCACCCCTCTCCCCCTCCACGGTGGACAGCGCCGAGTCCTACTTGAACCTGCTTAACCTGGAGAACAGCACCAAACCGGAAGCCTCAGTCAACGGAGACCTGGACCCCTTCATCCGGGCTAACGTGACAGCAGACAACAAGGAGAGCTCGTGTAATGAGATCGTCCCGTTCACGCTGAGGAACTCTGCCAACATGGATGAGAAGTAAGACGGCTCTTTATGTGTTGATTACAAGATGGAAAGTAATGATTGTTAATACTGTACCAGCAGGCCGGTGGCAGCATGTAATGAAGTTGTTTTATATTAAAGGATAAGTTCTAACTAATATTTCTTGGGCTTTTTTAGCCTTAGAACCAAATTTCGAGGGGGAAACTCACCTTTGCCTAAAGTAATTTTCCATGTCATAATGCATCAGAGATGTGGGGAGTTTGGAAGCTGCTTAAAGGAGGCTACCATGACAGAAAAAAATGCACAGCAGAATTCATAGATGGCGTACAATTAATATACAGTAATGAGTATAGAAGGAAATACCATCAAGCAGATAAATAGAATAAAGCAGCAACATTATGTGCAAGATCATTGCTCTGGGTGCACCAATGTCATCACCCCCTCCTGCTAGCCTGAGGTGAATTTACCTGACTTTTACTCCAACGTTCACACATTGGCTCAACCTGACTGGGCAGGAATAATCCCCGGTAAAGTGTGGGTGAAAAATCTAGCCATTTGCGTTCACACTTGCAGCTCACGCCAAACATTTTTGGGAACTTTCTAAACACCATTAGGGCATAAGGAACCAATAAACTCCATAAACCCTTATTATACATCTATGCACTCAACGAAGGGGAAATATTGAAGGCGCAACGTTAACAGGTTTTATGAATCAATTTTGTCCCTCAAAATGAAATCTGTCTGGCATCTATTTGAGATTTAACTTGAGCGCCATTCTTTAGCCTAAATTCATCTACCGTATATCTGGGCACAGTAGCACTATTAACAGTATGCTGAATTACATACAGCTGCTCCAGTAAGCAGTGTACCCACAGGCGTAAACCATTAAACAAAGAAAATGTAAAAAAAAAAAAAAAACCATGATGATACTGAGGTAAGTTCTGCAGTTATTAAGGAGCATCATTTCCCAAGGATTTCTAAAGATGTCTTTCTACTAGGAAGAAATTATTTTCCAAAATGCTGAACTACTCCCCTAATGGTCTATTCCTAATGTTGTACCAGTCAGTTAGTGTTTAAGGTTACAAGGCCACACCGTTACACACACACACACACACACATACACATAGTGACACACAGCCTGTAGCTTTTAGTGTTATTAGCGTAGAAGAGCTCAGCTCAGCAGAAACAGCCTCCAGCTAATGAAAGTGTGACTGTAATCTCGGTATTACAGAACAAGGAACGAGGTTTGAAAGAAAGAGGTTTGGGGTTAGACAGACAAAGAAAGGATCAGGGTTTGAAGTATGAAGAGGGAATCACGGCAGCTTAAAAGAAAGAATGAGATTTTTTTTAAAGAAACATGGAAACTCCATCAGCTGTAACTCGGTCCCAGAGTCTATGTTTCATTGAACAACTTCTTTTAAGAAGCTGTTAAAACATGTGTCGAGGGAGTAAAGGGAGTAAATGTCATAATTTTCTTTGAAATAATTTATACGGAGTGCTTTTCAAGAATGTTTGAAGCTCTTTTTATCCTTTTCTCACGGGGTTTATGTCGTGAAGTGCTTTCCCAGACTTGACTTTCCTCCTTAATGTTTGAATGTTATGTTACACAGCTTAGAGATACACAAGCAGCTTATACCTTGAAAACACATACGTACATGTATATGAAGCCTCAGCATGTAATGCCGTTTAAATGAGCTTTTTAATGAGCTTTTAATCACCATCACAAAGACCAGCCTTAGTGAAGGGGGAAATAACACTGATTACATGAGATCATGGAGGACAACAAACTCTTCAGTGATTGTCTTTTGTATCCCTCCTCCTTCTCTCTCTGTCAAAGCCAATCACTTAATTTGTCACTCTAGTCTTTGCGGTTTTCTCCCTCACATCAAAAATCCCGGAGGAGAGTGCTTTAAAGTTGGTTTCAGACAAGGAAGGAAAATAAGAAGTTAGAATCGACTCAGTGATGTAGTGAGAATTTGGCATTTTTGCAACGGCTTATTTTGTGTCTGCTTTTTTTCATTTTTTTTTCATGTGCATACAGCATGTGTTTTTCTGCAGCCTTAAAACCATACAGCCAGAATCACATCCCGTGGTTTCCTGCAGCACAGACTCCCAGCCAATCACAGCTCTTATCCCTCTCCACAACCTGAAACTCTACCCAGCTACATATGTCCAAATATGTTTCCCCCTTTTTTTCCCCCTTTTGCCCGAGCATGAAGGGAAGAAATGGAAACGCAAAAGAGGGACTTTACTCTCTTCCTTGTTACTCTTCGTTTCCATTTGAGCATTCAGATAATGTGCCAGTCTGTTGGATGCAAAGCTTTAAACCCCCCTTTTTTTTTATCTTTGTAGTCATTACATAACAACTTGCGTTTCCTCTGCTCCTCCTGAGCTTCTCTGTGCCACTACATTTTTCCATTTGCTCTCTCAAAGGCTTTAAAAAAAAAGATGCTGAGAAATGAATGAGCCAGGACATTTAAATGTTTCCTTTTTAAAGTGACTCCCCCCTCTCTGCCAACCCCCCCCCCCCTTTATTGACTTGACCTCCTTTCCTCCATGACATCATCTTTCCATAAATAGTCATCATCTAATTTAAAGCTGGTTTTATAAACAAATAAATACAAACATAATGAAGGTCAGAGTATGACTGTAATAACTGCTTTTTATGACGTTAAATTAACTCTAACCTTTCAGTGTTTAGAATGAAAGTAAAATAAAGCATTTTATTGCTTCCATTTGCCTTTGTTTTCTGGATTTCCCCTGCGAATCGATGTTTACAGCCAGCCTGACTGGCCTCATTTTATGTCATGAGAACGAGCAGAGAGAGACTCCCCTGCCATCTTTTCATACTGTCTCGCCTCCTCCTCCCCTCCTCCTCTTCTTCATCCAGCCTTAGCTGACCTCCTCCCAGGTCCAGTCCTGGTCATGCAGAACAATGTAATCATCATCTTTCATCAGTGGTTCTTTTACGCTTTAAATCACACAGGCATTATCATCCAACATGGATCATATGCATGTGTGCTCTAAAGCTGGCTCGCCTACTCGAGCACTATATCAGTGCATATGGTATGTTGGCATTGTACCATGCCGACACAATATGTAGCTATGCTGTGAGTCACACTTTAAACCACAAACAGAAGAAGTGAAAGTAGGATCACAACAGAATATGATTGTAGACTTACTGTAAACTTTGTGGACTATATATTTTGACCACTCTGTGAGTCATCAACCTCTTTATGACGCACAAGAAAACAAGTCAACAGCTGCTCTGTTTGCCTGTAAGATGTCACAACAGTGCTTTCATCAAAATACATACAGTACATGTGCACAATCCAGCATTTGCTGGTACCAAACATAAAGTTCAGCTTATAGTGATGGGAAGATTATTATTGATGTGGGTATTTGAAGTATACTGTGTATAAAAGTGGACATAGCTAGGGTGACATCACCCAACGGTTTATAGACGACTGTTTAGAAGCCTTGAGGCATTTTAGCTATCTGTTTAAGAGACAAAAGGGTGGGCTACATCTTGCTACAGTATAGCAACGTTGCAGGTTGAAAAACTTGTCAATCCAAGTAGCCGCAAACTACAAAAAACCCTGCTTTACATTTCATTCTAAATGTGGCTATAGTTTACAAAATGCACATCTATATACTATATTGAGGTGGATTTTAAACTTGGGAATTAGATCATAAACTCATAGGGAAATGTTCCCTTATAGGGGTTTCACAGTTGCAGAAAACTCCTGGAAAAACTCCTGAGGAGCTGTCGGTGTGAATGCAAACAGCTGACTCTGTCGCTCTCACTTCACCCAGAGTTTCTCTTGCCAGACCACTAGTGCTTTTCCACCGCAAGTCCGAGTGAGCTGATGTGAGAGCGCAGCAAGATATTATCCGGAGAATTTTACCTCGAGCCAATAGGAGGGGGGAGTGACGTTTCTATACTGTGACTGGAGTCGGTGCATCTACTGTCTGTACACGACCACACCGATCTCTGCGCATGTAATTATTACGTCTGCATTACGTTTTCTGTTCGTCAGTATGTTGTTCTCCGCTCTTTTGTGGATAGTGTGATTCCGTCTAACTACACGTGACATTGATATAAAGGCAAATATTCAGGGATAGTCTCCTGCTGTGAAGCCCATATGTGAACAGCCAGGTCAGGAGAATATCCGGAGAAGTCCTCCTGCAATTATCTAGAAATTTTCAGGAGTGCATATGTGAAAACGGTAATAAAACATGGTGGTAGAAGTGTTATTTTCTCATTAATTCTAAACAATCTTTTGTAACCAGATCAGTTCCTGCCTGCCTGCATTTACACAATTTCAGGTGTAATTTACTATTTAAGAACCAGAGGCTACCTTCTTTTTCTTACTTATAGTTCACAGTATTTGTTCATATAAAAAACGATCAGACTTTTTAAACATTTGAGCTAATGATGATGCTAGATCAGAGAAGTCTGAAAATCATCCATTTCTAACAATTCACTCTGAGGGGATTTAATCCCGTAGTTGTTGAGAAATGTCATTCAAAAGACACAAATCTGAACCTCGTATTGGCGCTGAAAGAAATGAACGAAGCTCGGAAAATCCCGTGGAAAATGTTGTCTAGAAACATGAATACTGTATATGTGCAGAACTTTAAGGAAATACACGTCGAGAGAGATTTCTCAAGAGGCATCCTGCTATAAACTGCAGCATGCCCACACGGAGCAGATCCAAACACATATGGTGGCCATGAACATCAAACTCCATATTATTCACCACTGAGTCATGTTTTCCTTTGGCGAGGACTGCTCTCTCGCTCTCTCTCACACTCGCTCGCTCTCTGGCTGAACTGAATGTTGCATAATCACATTTTCTGACCTATCAGGTGATCTTTCCTTCCCCTCTATCCTTCTTTTTGTTTCCCTCCTCATCATTAACATCATCATCCGTGTGTCAGAGCTCAACTGGCGGCCTCGTTAGTCGCTAATTTAATAGCAGAGATTTGATTGGAGCGTAATGGATGATTGATTCCAGGCGTTATGGTGGAGCTGGTTTTTTCATACTGGGTTTTTTTTAAAGAGCTTTTTGACAAGAAGAACATGTTTTGAAACTGTTGTATTTTTTTAGTTTATAATTTCTTGGTTTTTAAGTTTGTCATAGTCGTGCAGACTCCCACATTAAATCACCTACATGCTTAAACAACCCACGCAGACTTCTCACACACTTTGATGGGTGTTGCTGTGTGTTCATTTATAATTCTTCTCCAAAAGCTCAGTGTGCTTTCTCCGAGTTTCAACATTCGACTTATTTCCTTTCAGTTGCTTTATTGTGTTGGTCCGCCTGATAAAGGTTGAAGTATTGAGGATTTTACCAGAAGCTGTTCTTTTCAGAGACTCGGCTGAATAGGGAGATAGAAAACTTGGACTGATTTCTTGTATTCCTGTCCACTTGTCGATCTGCAGAGCTCCTACTGGTCGCTTCTGAAATGTTTTTTTTCCTGTTCATATTATTGAATAGGAATGTAGCATGCTGTTTATGACTCATAGACTTCATATTGCAGACACTGTGGGGGATATTTTAACTTCTAAAAACAGTCTTGCTGCTTTAGTGTCAATATTGATTTTCATGCAGCTTAAAATTAACCCAGTAAAAAGCAAGTCTCCGCAGTGAATGGTTTCTCTAAACCTTAGAGTACCATCCCTTTGGCTCTGTTTTACCATCCATTAAGTACTAACTGAATACATTTGTCTTTTGCATACATTTAAATAAAACTGTTCATGTAGTGGTAAGGCTTGATAATGCCTGTGACTGTCACTGTGAACATTGTTGATGTAAGAACCATTAAGATTATAAGCAGAAATTAATTTATTATTATTATTTATTTAATAAATTTAACAGAAACTGGGAGCTTTTCCAATCCCCTCAGTGTTCTTTGGGTAGATTGGTGAGTAGAGCTATTCTGTGGGGGGAAAAAAATCTCATTAATTTCCTCAATAGATGTTTGATGACTCTCAGTCAGAGGAACTAGATGGCTTTGATAGACCCTAAACCCTCCCAGATTGACAGTTGTGATGTCTGGTTCTTTTACAAACAGCACAAAAGTGCGAGTCTGTCTGTGTAGACCAAACATTAGCTTGAGTTTACTAAGACTCCCAATGAAAACATCACCAAAAACAATTCAGTTTTATGGGCCACTTTCAATAAAAGACAAGATGGAGAATTCACTGTTGGGAAAAAACAATGTCACAACAACACGACTCACTCTATCATGGTTTAAACTAGTTCCTACTCTGATTTCATCCTGGCTTTTTGAAGGCTCATGGGAGTTGTAGTTTTTATTGCCATCTACAAAATAGATACTGACTGACTAAATCTAATAATTATTGAAACTGATGGACACGGGAACCTGTAGGATTGTAACTCTGTATGTGAAGCCTGGAATTTATGATTTAATTCCAATGAAAGTTTGAATGGGAATCCAGAATTAGAAAATTATTTTACTATGTAACAGCTTTGTGCTATGTTTTACATTTGCATACATCAAGGCACGCAAAGGCTGGAAATTCCATGTCGTGGCTACTACAGTTGGGTTGGGACAAAATGTTGATGTGTCAATATACATGTCGTCATCCTGACTGGTGTGATAGAATTCTTGTGTCGCTGATGCCAAAGAAAGACATTTTAATTAAAAAAGTTGCAGCTCTCCAAACAGATTTTCCTGCCAATTTGACTCATTGTGCCACATCTTCATATTGTTAACTATGAAATGAATAGCAAAGCAGAGGAAGGCCATTATAGCATGATAGTAAGCCAACTCAGTAGTAGTAAAAAAGCAAAATAAATTCTATCTGAAGTAGGTTTTTGAATATTTAAGCAAGTTCATTGTCTCAGAGGTTTGATGGATGCTCAATGAGACGCTCAGTTTATCTTTATACATGCATTTCAATATTTCAAGCCTAATTTCAGGCTTAACAGGCTTAGACTTGCAAAATGGCGAACAAAGGTTTACTAGTCCCTCGCGTAGCTCCCTGATCCTCTAACCTTTGCCTCTCTTTGGTGCAGGTGCGAGGACCCTCTCCTGCTCTTCCTCTTCCTCCTCTAACCATCCCTCATTTCCCTGTCAGTCTGCTCAAGCAAACAAACTGAACCCCCCCCAGAAAAATCATCCATAGTTGCATCCATCCAATCCCGTCCCTCTCCTCGTTTGCTGCACCAGCCTGCCTCTTCTCCTTCTCCTCCTCCTCCTCCTCCTCCTCCTCCTCTTCTTCTTCTTCTCCTCTCTGCCCCTTCTCCTCCCTCTATGTGAGTATAACTCATGACTACCAGCATGTGGAACCTGTGTTTTGTGGCACAAGCATGGGGTGTTGTGGGTGTTTGTTGGGCTTGTGTGTGGGACTCATCAGTGATTTCTGTACTGCACTGTTCTGAAGTACTGCATAATAGCCTTCATTTTCCATGCGGATGATTCTGCAAATTCATAACCACATTAGCATCGATGCAATCAGCGAGTCACTCACTTCTTATGCATGGTAGCTCTGCCTATGTTTGTACCACACGTTGCTGGTGGTGAGCACTTGTTTTTGTCCCACATACCTTCGCCAAAATAGAAAAGTTGTGCCTATCAAGATGTGATATTTCTGTGTCAGTGGAGGTTCCACCTGAACAGTTAAGTTGTCAGAGCAGAGGCAGAAGTACCCCATGATTTACCTGTTATACACTCACTGTTTTATTTCAGAGTTTGTGTTATACTGTGTATATACTGTTAAACTGTGTGCGTGTTTTACTTCACTGGGTCTACCCATAAAAGAACCTTCCAAATAGAGTTTGTACTCAACAAAGACTCATAGATAAGAGGTGGAGAGCAGCATCGGGAAATATTCAATTCTGTTACCTGTGCAATTGACAAAAACAGTGTTTAAAACCCTACATCCAATAAGACAAAAATAAAAATAAAACCAGATAATAAAGAATACATTAATATGGATCATGAAAAAAAGACAATATGGACTTTGTGGACTTTAATGCTACGTTTATAGCTATCTTATAACTTATTCTCTGATGTCAGAGCTTTCCATCTTGAATTATAAAATACACGTTTAGGTTTGAAATCATCTATTTAGAATAAAAAAGTAACTGATGGATTACTTACAGTGTCACAAGAACATTTTTAATGGTTATCAAGTTAAACCTCACATTGAGATTGAGGATGGCGCCAAGGAGGTTTTGTCCTGTTTTGTTTATTTATATACCCCACTCTCTCCCACTAGACTCGACTTTTCATCCAACCCAATAGTCACTAAATATAAAGGCTTAGTCAGGTTTTCTTTGATATCAGTATTTTCTGTTTAATGTGTAATTTTCCACTTAAGAAATTTCACTCACCATCATTTTGCACGTCCTGGAACATGGTACAGCTCCTCCATTGTACCTATATGTTTTCAGTTTTATATGGTTTATTTTAAATATTTTCTTTCTTATTCTACTGTAGTTCTGTGACAGTAGGAGTTTTGCAGTTAAATAGCCTTTTCATTGATTGAATCAAAAAACTTAATAAAGTGAAGCCAGTGTCTGCTTATAGATCACAATAGAGGAAAGCATTCAGATGTACTTTTTAGCAGGAAAATGAAGTACACGTGAGCTGTCATAAGAGCAGCCTGACTTCAACCAGCTCCTAATGATTCCTTTAGTGAGACTACTTGTACAG